CAGAAATTGGCTTCTTGGTTAAGTCTGGCTCAGACTTACTGAAGATGATATGAGACTCTGATATTCGTCAGCTAAGCTAACCTCATCAATTCTTACAAGCTACGACAGCTTTCAGCTGTCATGTGAATTTTAAGTTTACTTTTAAAATGTTGCGGGGAAAAAAACAAAAAGAAAGAAAATGCGAATTAGGCATGTCTCCATCTGCTGGAATCAACCAGGACACGTAAAACATCATTTCTTCAGATGTTAATGTTACATAGTCCTGCAACAAACGGGAAGCAGAGGTTGTTTGTCATGGTAAGATTTTTTTATTTATCGTTGTCATGATAAATTTCAATTATTGATTATACATTTAAAAATCCAAAACTGGCAGTATGAATATGTTATTCTTTCTTTCTTTTTGTTTTTTTGCTATTTTCTCCACTGTTTGTTCCACAAGACCACCAATAAATATCAGTAAATTTGAAAAGAAAAATTATTAAATAGATTTACATTTATTAAATTAAAATAGTTACATTTTAAAAGTGTGCCAAGAATCACACTTTTTGAGCAAGTGGCCTATTCTAAAGGAGAATACTTTTTATGATGTATATTTATGTTTGTGGCGCTAAGAATGCTGTGCCATGCAGTCACATCCATACAGTTACCTAAAAAATAAGTAATAAACAGTTTTTTTTTTATATAATAATTTGTTATTACAATGGTATCACAAAATGTCCAAAGTCCACATTGCCCACCATTAGCACAAACCCACCGGTGGATGGGAGAGTTCACTATATCAGAACTTATTCAGTAAATGTGTTTACTTCTCATTTTTTCGCGCACTAGCTCTTTTCCAGAAAAGCCAAGAAGCACCTCAAGCGAGTGTCAAACTTTTTGGCAGTTGTTTCAAATTTCGGCATTTCCATCAACGCGATACTTCAAAATTTACACACCCACAAAAACAAAATGGAAATCACGTCAATAATACGGCTTTTTGAAGCATTATTTGGAATCTCTAAACACGACATACTGAGCAGCCTCCTCTTCCACAGAAACAAAACTCTGCACCTGTTTCATTATATTCAGTCAGTAAAGGAGAAAAAAAAGAGGTGAACTTCCAATTTTTGGTTTAAAAAAAAAAAAGTCAGGAAAAAAAAATAACCGCACTGAAAGAAAGAGGAGCTCAGGTGGGTGCTTGAAGACAGTGAGGTGATACCACAAAGTGAGCAGCGGACTCATAAAACAGTTATGTTAAGTGGAGCGTTTTTGAAGGTCTTAAGTGAGTACTACCTGTGATCACATTCTTATTAGAAACTGAGAACATTGTGAAGTGTCTCTAGTCGCCTCAGTCTGAGGATGTGCATGAATGTGTGAGAGTGCTGATGTCGGAAAAGGGAAAAAAAATAAAAAATACCGATTGCCTGTCTTGATGTTGGCAGCAGACAGCCACAGAAAGACAAGGCAGGAGTGGGAACATATTTTAAATCACTACAACGTGTTGGAGAAGACTGTGGGGAATGAATTTGTTGTTTTGGCAGCTGAGTGAGCCAAAGTCTTAGGCTGTGAACTTTATTGTTAAACTGAAACGTTATGCACGTATTTATAAAAAAAATTACATTTATAAAAGTGCATGTGATATAAATTAAAGTCAGCATAGAGAAAAAGCATCCAATTCAAAGGTCAGTGCTATTTGTAACATAGCAGGGCTGCAGCTAACGATTATTTTCATAATCAATTAATCTATCAACTAATCTGATGATTAATTAATGAATCATGTAAAAGAAATAGCACATTCTACAGATATTTCATTTAACTACTACTGGTACTACTTCTTATACATTATTAGAAATACACTAAAAGATGCAAATAATAATACTACCAGTCAATCTGAACAGGGCGAAGCTAAAATTAGGCCCCTTGATAAGTTTTGGCTAAAACAAATCTACAGACAAAAGTGTTTTATCTTAAATGAAAACATATATATTTTTGTATAGTTGTGGCTTAAATGGATTACTAAATTAGTAACCCAATTAATCTTTGGGCTGATTAATCCCAACGATAGAATACATCTTATGCAAATCTGACTCACAAGCGACCTCCACAAGCAGCAAAGGACGATCTGAAGAGACGCTGGGAAAGATTACTTTTGTGTGCAAGTTGGACAATAACAACTCAGCCTATCAGTGGAGCTATTCAAGCCTAAAATAGCATCTCAGTCCTGAACATGTTGCAGCGGTACAGACGTCCACGTTAACGTCTTTGTCCACAGTCCACGTTTCTAAAGAAGTTCCATGAATGATCAGGGATTCTTGAAACACTTGAACGCTGAATGGGAATAATAGCACTTTGCACCAATCTGATGGTTGAATAACCTAAAGATTAAAAATAAATATATTTATTGTTGAGCCTATGTGGCTTTTTATTCCATAATTCATCAGTAAAAATGTTTTTTGATTTGAAAATGTATTTTGTCACTATTAATTATTTGCAGACCCTGCAATTAACTCGATTAAACATTTTAAATCCCATTACTAAAAAAAAAAAATTATGTTTTTTGTGTCTGTTAGGATTGGACAAGTTTATATTTTGTGAAAAGAGAAAAAACTCAGATCTAGTGCATGAAATGCCTCTGTTTTCGCTCAGACGTGTCATTAGAGCTATTTGCTTTGCAAATGAGACGGAACAGAGAGCAGGTGCAACCAAAGTGCAAAATTTCCATCACCATCACAACGATGTTAGGAGTTGTGAATCAATGCATCGTATATTGTAGTTTTTTAAACCTGGGATAAAGTTGACCCAGGCAGAAGAGTGTTAAGAATAACAGCAGTGAACTTTTCCTACGTTGTTGTATTTATGTGGTTGAAACGTGTCATTATCTTGGGGTGATGATTTTTTATTTATTTTATTATTATTTTTTTTTTTTTTAGTTTGTTATTCAATGGTTCAATAGTTATTCACTGTCACCTGCACAAAGAAGGTGTGGACAATAGAGAAAAGACAAACCAAACTTTAGTATTATTTTTAGCACCAACAAAGAAAAAAAAACTACGAAACCTATCTGGAGAAATGGGAGCAAAAATAATTTAAAAAAAACCTCGTGACCGCGACTTAATAACTCGTGGGAATTTACTTAATTATAACAACTCGTGGCCACGTATTGAATAACTTCTGGCCACAAGTTGGGTTTTTTGTTTCTTTTTTCTACGTCACCAGACGGGCTTTGTAAAAAAACTACAGCATTAAAAAAGCTTTGTTATCAAGGACAAAAATGATATCGCATTATATGAAGGATATCTCAGACATATTATTTAACACATAAGACCTTTATTTGTAACAAAATGTGTGTTAGCATAACTTTTCGAAGGCTATAGAAATATTCAAGGATTTCAGCTGTATTCAAATATCATCTCTTCAGTGGCTTACAGACGCTTTACTGTGAGATTTGTTTTAGAGTTCTTCGGGGCGGCGGAGCTCAGCAGTGCTTGTTGTTGAGTTTTGTCAAAGAAACTAGATGTGCCGTATCTTTTTTTTCCCCCTCTCTTGATGCGATACCAGTTATCTCTGTTTGGACTTGTGAGAGGAGGTCTGTATTATAAACTGGGACTCCAAGGCAACATTAATCTCTCTAAACAGATGTCTGGATATAAATATGCAGAATGCTCTTCTGGTATGGAGAGCGTGTCTCGATGTATGTAAACAGTCAGTGAGGGGAAGAGAAATATGAACAGAGAAATCTACAAACCTCAAAGCCACTGACTGGTTGGGTGGTGACAATTTCAGTTTGATGAGTTACGCCGAGGAATATGGCATGCAGATGAAACAGGAAGAACTCACCATAGAGAGGCATAAAATCATGTTTTACTGGTAAGTTTTTAGCGTTACTATATTGTTGTGTGGCTGTGGGAAGTAAAGTGCATTTTTACAACTTATTGCATGATATTTGTCAACAGACAGAGCAATGTCTGTAGAAATGATCATGTTTTTTGCTCTTTGATTTATAACTTTTCAAGCATCTTGGAGTACTTGACTGTAATAAGACAATAGCTGCATTTCCATTGACCATATAATTGCTCAGTTTTAAAAATAAATTGGCATAATGGAAATGGGAAATTTTTCAGCAAAAAGCTTTGGTGCAAGGATGAGGTGGGGGTTTTTTTGGCCATGTCGAAATTGATTTATTTTGTAAATAAAACACTTGTTTCAATGTTAATGCTTTTTTCGAGTCACATGATCAACAACCAGATGTTGCACCTGGCGCAAAACCCGTAAAGAAGACGACAGAAAGTAGTTAGAGGATCGTGGAGCGGCATGTTTTTTAACGACTTGTCGTGTGAACAAACTTATTAACGTGTGATTTTAATTGCGTTTCTTATTTAATGGAAACGCTGCAATTGCAAAATTGTGGTTTTTTTATATCAGTGGAGTATTGATGACAGTTTGCTCACATTTATAACAGAAATGCAGCTACTTCTGAAGAATAAAGGATTTTTCTTTTCTGACACTCACTAAGGGTAAATATGATTTAAGTCCATAATCTAAATTATACATTGATACAATAAAATGCTCTTAAATGCCTAATTTCTGACTATGTATTTGAATGTGGAATATGGGTGTTCTTAATAAATGTTGACTTTTTTTCCTATCATTTATACCTTCAACCTAAATTATTCAAACCCCTGACAGATTCAGGCTCAAAGTAATCTTTTTATCTGACCAACACTTTTGTTCTGAGAACTCTGTAAATAATATTAAGATGACAGTATTTTTTAAATAAAAGTAAGTAAAATTATTTTTTTCACCAACATTGTTGTGCTTACCTTTTCACAAATGCTCACCTTTTTTTTTGAAAGAGAAATGCACTTATTGCTTAAATGAAAATAATTTATCTAAATCTGTGAGAGATATTAATAATTCTGTAATTAACTTGGTTTCTTTTGAATTCTTCGGGTTTACACTTGGCAATATTTTTCATGATTCTTGTTTGTGTTCAGGTTCTCTTGTGCTTCTATTTATCTTAGTGTCGCTCCATGTTGGTTCGTCGCACTTCAGACTCATTGAGGTATTAATTCCAGTTTTCCAGGTCCAATCTGTTTCTCTTGTCCCTGTTATTTTACATTTCTGATTTTCTCTCAGTTCTGCATTCACCGTTTAAACTCACCTGGTGTCTCTGACACAATGCCATCTCCACAGTATTTAATCTCCTTGGTTTCCGTCGCTCTTTGTTGGATTCTTAAACTCTTCCTGTCGAATGTTGTTGAGAGGATTTCCCGAAAGCAGAGTTTCAGAAAGAGCAGGAGCTTCTTAAAGAGACAGAGGCCTGATTTCAATTATGAAGCCAAATTTATTTTAAGTCATATTTGATATGTAAAGCATTTTTATAACAACTGAAGTTGACGTTCAGTCACCGTCAGTGACTGATTGTGCTACAAAATGGCTTGAAAATACATAATACTGCCCTCTTTAAATTTAACATTTCATAAAACCTTACAAAATTCAAAATAATCTGAAAACATGTTTTCATCTCCATGCACTCCTACATAACCATGTACAAGTTGCTCTATGTCATTTCTAACAGGAATAAACTGATATCTAATCATATTTGGTCAATAATTTGTGGAAAACACGAATCGCCCAAAGTTTGAGTCCATTCAGTGTCTGCAGACAGGTGCTTTATTTCCCTCTCTTGTATTTGCACACCTTTTTACCTTCACATCACTGAACAATCTGAGCATTACCACACTGAACTCCGGGTTTGAAGACAGGGGCTCATCACCAACATCGCCCCTGTCCAAGCCATCAAGTCCACAGTGCAGGGCTGAGCCGTAAGAGGCCTCCCAGGACCTGGAAGGTTAATATTTGAAGGAGCGATGGCTCATAAATATGAGCAAAGGGACTTTTAATTAAATAAGCACTTCTTAAATATCCTCCTGAGCCCGCTGCTTTTGTTTAAAGATGAGTGATCGACTGCTATCTCTCTGGGCAGGACCATTAGTTTCGCCACTCCCCGCCATACTCCAGCCATCCCCACTGTCTCTCTATTTTTCCAGATCTGTCAACATCTCTCCTCCCTTTCTCTCTCAATTCCCCTTCCTGCTCTCATACCTCTCGCTCTCCTTCCTTCCCCGCCCCTTCTTTCCAACCCCCTCCCTTCTTTTGCGTGCGCCTGCTGTCAGCTCCCTTTTCCCTTTTCTGTTTTCATCAGTCCACGTCCCTGAGCCTCTCTCTGGAGGCCCATATTTCTCCGAGCTCGTGACAAGGTAATGAGGCCATGCTAAATCCTGCCACGCCCTGGAGCTACATCAGAAGGTTGGGGGGGGGGAGGCAGGTCGTTTCCCGCCTGGCCCGGGCCCTGCCCTGCCTGCCTGCCCAGCTGAATGTCTGCTTCGGCTTAAGCATCTGTCAGCACCTGCTCTACAAAGAAAACTTTTCTTTTTTAATCTTCAAAACTATGAAAAGTAACACAAAAAAACTTGAAAAAGTTCTCATAATGAAATAACTTTTTTTTTTTATTCCCTCTTTTTTGTTCCCTTCTTCCTCCAGAGCTGTAGTGCAGCAGCAGCCTGCCACGGTCTGCTGATTTCTAGCTGGAAGATGGGGATCGGCAGGGGAGCGCAGTCTGGCTGTGGGCAGCTGAGCCACACACTCACACACACACACACAAAGAAGCAGGTATGCAAGGCCACTGTGGGTGTAAATGTGCCTTAACACTCGTACCGTGTCATTCTTTAAATTTTTTATCCAAGCAGGTTATCCTTGTGCTTGCATGAAAGACGGAAATCTTCATATGACGGCATAAACTACATGTATAGGCAGCAAGAGATAGAGTTCCTTGTGTGTGTGTGTGTGTGTGTGTGTTTGTTTGTATTCTTCCGCTATGCATTGAAGCTTCCCATGTTTGACCATGACGTTCTTCCTTAAAAGAGTCTATTGAGAATCTGTGAAGTTTTTTAATACACTCCTGATCAAAATCTTAAGACCAGTTAAAAAACTGCAAGAATTTGCATTTTGCGTTATTGGATCTTAAGAAGGTTCTAAGTAGAGCTTCACAATGTTAAAGGAAGAAATCGGCGTAAGAGACAAAAACTTTTGAGCGGGGAATTAATGGAAAACTGCATTTACACTCAAACATGATTTTTTCAGCTGATCAAAAGTTTAAGACCATAGCTCAAAAAACCCCCGAAACCCCTCCCAAAACAGAAATCAAAGTGTCAAAAAAAAAAGGACTCAGTAATGAGTAGCTCCACCATTCTTGTTGATGACTTCAAACAATCGCTTAAGCATGCTTGATGCCAGTGTTTCCAGGAGGCTAGTGGGAACGTTGCTCCAAGTGTTGAACATAGCTTCACGAAGGGCATCCACTGTCTGGAACTGATGTCCATTTTTGTAAACTTCCCTTGCCATCCATCCCCAAATGTTCTCAATTGGGTTTAGATCCGGGGAACATGCAGGATGGTCCAAAAGAGTGATGTTATTCTCTTGGAAGAACTCCTTTGTCAGGCGGGCATTGTGAACTGCAGCATTGTCCTGTTGAAAAACCCAATCATTACCACACAGACGAGGGCCCTCAGTCATGAGGGATGCCCGCTGCAACATCTCCACATAGCCAGCTGCTGTTTGACGCCCCTGCACAACCTGAAGCTCCATTGTTCCATTGAAGGAAAACGCACCCCAAATCATGATGGCGCCCCCACCACTGTGCCGTGTAGAAAACATCTCAGGTGGGATCTCCAGTAACGTTGGAAGCCATCAGGACCATCAAGGTTAAAGTTTTACAACTTTCTTCCACCTTTCAATGTCCCATGTTTGGTGCACCCTTGCAAAGTCCAAACGGGCAATTTTGTGGCGTTGAAGAAGACGTGGCCTTTGAAGACGTTTTTTGTTTCTGAAGCCCTTCTCTCGCAGATGCCGTCTGATGGTTATTGGGCTGCAGTCAGCACCAGTAATGGCCTTAATTTGGGTAGAGGATCGTCCCGTGTCTTGACAGACAGCCAATCGGATCCTGCGGCTCAGAGCTGGTGAAATTTTTTTGGGTCTACCACTTGACTTTTTTGTTCCATAACCCTCAGGATCATTTAAAAAATGCAAAATGACTGTCTTACTGCGTCCAACCTCAGCAGCGATGGCACGTTGTGAGAGGCCTTGCTTATGCAGCTCAACAATCCTACCACGTTCAGTCAGTGAGCTTTTTTGCTTTTGCCATCAGGAGGTCTTGACAGTGTAAAGACTTAGCAGAAACTGACATGAATCCAGATTTTTGCACAGCTTTTGGCTTTTAAAGACTATGGTCTTAAACTTTTGATCAGCTGAAAAAACCATGTTTGAGTGTAAATGCAGTTTTCAGAAAATTCCCTGCTCAAACGTTCTTGTCTCTTACGCTGATTTTTTTCTTTAACATTGTGAAGCTCTACTTAGAACCTTCTTAAGATCCAATAGTGCAAAATGCAAATTCTTGCAATTTTTTGATTGGTCTTAAGATTTTGATCAGGAGTGTATTTGTAGCCTTGAGGCACAAGACGAGCATATTGTATTTCACACCATTGTTTAATGAAAAGCAGTGAAAATCCTACTAATGTTAATGATACACTTAGAAAAAACACAATAAATTAATATAGAAATATATTCCTGTTATTTGGGGGAGATATTGGAGGGTTTACAGTGAAGCAAATACTGTTGCTGTAACCTTTTACCTCACTGTTGGTTCAACATTGTAATTTAGACCTTGAGGTGACATTTTAGTGATACAAATGTAATACTTGTTACATTTGTAATAATTGTTACTTTTGTATCACATTGAAAACACGTTTTGTACAAATTAATTTAGCAAAAAAGATGTTGGGTTATTCAGAAGTCTTCTTTTAAACAGTCCACATAGTTAAACAGAGCAACAGCACTGGCAAAACACTTTTAAAACTAAGATTATGTTAATTTATACGACTACTAGGGTGTTGGGGGGGTTAGATCTCTTAAAAATGCAGATCAAATTGTATTTGTATAGCAACAAGGCATCTCAAAGTGCTTTACATCATAAAAACACAAGGTCATAGAGCGCACATTCAACAACATTATGTTTTGCACATCAGATTGTTGATTGTTTCATGATTAGATTTCAAAAGCAACTCTAAACAGCTGGGTTTTTAGTCTAGATTTAAAGGAACTCAGTGTTTTGGCAGTTTTCTGGAAGTTTGTTCCAGATTTGAGGTGCATAGAAGCTGCTTCTCCTCATTTGGTTCTGGTTCTGTGGATGCAGAGCAGAACCAGAAGACTTGAAAGATCTGGAAGGTTGCAACAACAACAGCTGTGAGATGTGAGAATGTTCCAGAGAAAACTCTTTTGACATGAACTTATTTGAAGAAACGAGGAGCAAGAGCTATGAAATTGTAGGCGTACAGACGGCACACCCTCAGTTTTCCAATATTTGGCTTTGTTACCTCTAAAACGTATAGCCCCGGTTACAAGCGCAGTCTTCTCTACTTGCATGCGCTTCCCGTGTTGCCTTCATACTTTGCCTTTTTTTCCTAACTCCCAGTATGGCTCTGTGAAAGCCTCAGGCTCTAATGTGTCACCAATGTGTTTATGTATTCTGGAAATTTCTGGTAAAGTCCTTTTGATTCACCATACACAGGTACTGAACAAATACACTGTTGTTTTAAACCTGAATACATAATGAGGAACTAATGGGCAGCATTTTTTGTTCTGCTATTGCCATCTTTAAAACATGACACCAAAACATCAAGAAATACATAAAAAAGCGAGGTATGTGGACTCCCTGTCACTAAAGTATGATATTTGGGAACTTTATGGTTTCCCATGCAGCTATAGTGACACAAGAGGCTCAGATTATTCAACCGAATCGGTTCGTTGACCCGGATTAACGGACTCACCAGAAAGCACTGCTGAGTCAGATGATTCGGTTGACTGGCTCCCACTTGCTTTGTGTGTCGACTTTGACAATACAGGAGTCTTTCAAAGGGTGGTGCTATACAAATACCGGCCACAAACAAGCACACGTCCAGTCAAGAAGAAGAGATCGGCTGTTTTCCCTTCTGGATGTTGATGTGGGATTATTCTCAAATTCTCAGGACACACTAAGGTTCATGTGACATAAAACAAGATGGCAGATGGTTAAAAGTTGCCATTTTTAGAAGGTTTGGACCAAGAGTCCTTGCTTCTGAAGATGAGCTCAAAGAAAAAGAATTGAAAAGAGACGGGGGATGTGGGGAGATTACTCATTGGAATATGAATGTAGTTTTTATGTCCTTTTTTTGTCCCTGAGAGAAATAATGATCCACATTAGGATATCTCCTCACCATATACCTTCCAAATTCATGATACAAAAATCTACAAACATACGCCGTGAGTTAGTGCAGATGATGAATTTCATTTCACACAAGATTTCTCGTTAACAGTAGCGAAGATACTGTTAAGGTATAAATTAGTCATAAACGGGAATGTCACAGGTTTTTTAGAGTCTGGATAGGTTTTCTTCACCTGTTAAAGATCTGAAACACTTAGACCACATTTATGAAACGCCAGTCCTCCAGGTAGATAGTCCTGTAACTTTCAGATGTGTCCCAGGTCCAACACGTGGGTCTGATTGTAAAGTCATTAACTATACTCTGTGGAATCTAACTACACGATGAAGAGCTAATTCATCCTTCAGGTGTGTTGAACACCTAACAGTTACAGAACGCTGCGAGAAACAGATTATTTTGAACACAGTTTGATATTTATGAAACCTTTATGTTATCACAAGATATATTTTTTACTTTACTTCCTCTACTGTGTATCTGTGGGGACAAGGTGTTGCTTTCACAAATGTGAGTAGCTGATTAGCACCTCAAAAGCTAAAAAAAAAAAAAAAAGAAATAATAGGTGACCTACAACTTACAATCAGAGCGGAGTTGAAAAGGACCAAAAAGCAGGACAAAGTTGAAAACATCTCTTCCATAAACCACACTGGGTAAGGATCATACCACATACCCCAACGTCTCTCTGCCTGGCTTTCTAACTCCATGGCCTGACAGATTTAAAGTGAAGCAGCAAAAGCAAACGAGGTGGATTAGCAATGCTAGCCAACAACTGAGTGTCGTGTTATCATTAAATATCATATCTACTGCTAGGATACTGAGCTTTTGGCATGTGATGACAGTCATGAGATTGCCGTACAGCAACAGTCTTCAGTCAGAGGCCTCTTCAGATTACTTGCCATGCAAGACTGACTGCTACTGGAGATCCTTCCTGCTCACAGCATCAGCATCCACAACAATCCTTTCAAGATATGAGTTACAACAACATTTATTTAATAAAGTGTTTTCGAATTTGAATTAAAAAACTGAATCTTTTCAATGTTTCTGGCTTGAAGTAAGAAATACATAAAACCCAAAACATGTTGTCTAATCAAAACTAAACTGAATTATTCTTTGTTTGTTTTTTAAGATACTACTATTATACCCCTAATAAATAACAAATGCACACACACACACAGCATTACCTGGAAACAAACCAATACAGTTACAATGAGCTGAAAACTACTTCTGTGTATCAGGGCCATAGTAGATAGAAAAAAAGGAGGGGTAACTTTCTGTCACAACTCAAAAATCTTCTAGGAAAAACAAGGAAATTTCAGAGTTTCAAAAGTAAAAAAATTAGCAAGAAAAAACCTAAGAATTTTCAGATTAATCTGAGGAATTTTCTAGAAAACAAAATATAGTGTTTGACTTTTAAAACTCACAATTTTCCAGTTTTTTCTGACAATCTAAAAATTGTTGCAAGTTTTTGACTTTTCAAGCGTAGAAACTTCCAAGTTTTTTTCTAGGAAATTTCTGAACATACTCTAGTTTTTTGGCATAAATATACTCCCTTTTTTCCCCCCCAATCTACAATGGCACTAACTCGCCGTCGCAGCAAACAAATTAAGACGGAAACGGCGTAAGCTTCTCACATGCTGTCCTGTGACAGACCGCGAACCACCGTGTGTTCATTAGCACCTATTGATCCACGTGTTTACCAAACACTCTTAATGATGGCCGTGAAAACTGGAACAGCAAACAGACAGATTGACGTGGACTGATCCGCGCGCGGCACGGAGCCGAAGGAAGGAAGGAGGAGAGGCGATGGCGTGATAATGGAGGCGGTGGAGAGGAGACACTTGGCGAAGGCGCGCGAGAGGATATAGAGACGATGGTCAGGGCTCACGAGTATTGGACGGAGAGGAAAGGCGAAGTAGGTGAATGAAGGAGTGGGATTGTGTGAGGAGGAAGAGGAGAGAGTGTGAAGTTGGGGAGAAGGAGAGTAGAGGGGGGCAGCCATATTAAAAATGCAGCAGTGGGGAGCAGGCCGGGGATTCACAGTAATTAGATGACAAAACGGCAGCGGGCTGGAGATGAGAGAGAGGGGTCACACACAATGCCACTGCCGCCGGGTAATTTGTAAGTGTCAATCACTAGCCTGCCAGGGGAAAAGCGAAAGAGAGAGAGGGTGAGGAGAGGTAGGGGGGGTGAAGGAGGGATGCGGGCAGAGGTAGAGGGAGTGAGACTTAGTATCAGGGTGCAGGCAAGGCCGAGAGAGACAGGTGGAGAGGAGCTGATTTTTTTTTAAATACAAGAAATAAAAAGCAATTCTGAAGGAGTCAGGAGAAAGAAAGTGAAAATTTAAAGACAGAGACTGAAAGTGTGAGAGCAGGTATGGAGATGAAGATCCAGGTTTTACGATTTGGTGTGGAATATATTTAAAAAAATGTTCCTGGTATATTTTCTGGCCTGCCAGAACCTTGAGTGTGACATTTCTCACATTCTTTTTTTTTTCTTCCCCCAAATCAAAACATGTCCAGGTGTTGCATCACATGAACCTGTCACGCATGATCAGCGACGTTGTAAAGGGACTGCATCTGCAAGATGGTCACATTTTCCATCAAGAAGAGGAAAAAGAATTGGAAGGTGTTAGTACTTATTTCAATAAGAATACGCTGACAATAAAAACATGATGAATGCTGAACAGAAAACAGCAGCTAGTTCTGCTTTGTGGATATTTGTGTTGATGACATCAGAAGAGGTACGGGAATCTATACATTTTATAGAGTGGATGCATGCTTTGACTATAGAAGTAAACTTTCTTTCAAGTCATATTTGATGTAAATAGCATTTTTATAACAAACACATGAAGAAAAAATGGTTATTTGATTCTTCATTGTAATTCTTAAATAATAATTAAAAAAAAAATACTCAAATGACATGCGTTGTTTAGGTGTATATTGTTTTCTGGAGATCCTACCCCCTACTTCCAGTGATTTTGATAACTGATTTTCATTTAGGCCAGTTGATTCTAATGAAATATGACAGATGATGACCTCAAATGATCATCATACCAAAGTAAATATGGATTAATGGATCAGATATTACTTACTTGAGTTATATATAAAATGAAATGATAAAAAAAAATCACGTTACGAAATGCACTCAAGGTACATCGTAACTGATGCATAGAAAGTCCTGCATATATTTGTTGAAATATACAAGCCAGTGTATGGAGGTTTGACATATCAAGCCACCTGTACGTCCTGTACCCCTTCAGATAAATGAAATAATCTCTATTATTTATTACTTGAAGTCATCGATGATTCATTTTGGTGCACCTGGATAACCAGGACGCACCGACCTTCCATGGTGAACTCTCCAACAGGGACGCGTTCGCCGAAACGAAGGCGAACAGGAAACGAGATTAACCTTTACGGCATCGGCCATGTATGTTAATATTCATCATGTTATAGGCTAATTGTGTGGCTTTTTTGTTGCATGCTATGATGGACGGTTGAAAGTCTGTGTGTGTGTGTGTGTGTGTGTGTGAGCGACAGGGCTTTCTTTCTTTTCATAGTGGGTACAATGGGGGACAGTTGTTGGCATGCAGCCAGAGAGTGAGGATCCAACACAATGAGCAAGCGGCGCTGCAGACGGCCGAGGGTTGCACGGCTAACCCGTGTTTTCTGTTCACACAGACGCGGCGGCATACATCCGTACATGCATGCACGTGGAGGAAGGTGAAGGCACGTCTTTACACATGCAAAACGCTCATGGCGGTGCGGCATTGTGCGCATGAGGCAGGGCAGTGACAGGACATGACACAACAAACCTGACATATAAAGGAATCCTCCAGGGTGGGTTAGCGGAGAGGGGAGGGGCAGCTGTCCTGCAGGACCGCTGGCCTCTTTATCTCCAGCCGTCCTCACATCTGGACAAGCATTTACATGCGTACGTGTGTGTACTGGGGAACCACACTTAAAATGGCATCCCCAGGCAAAAGTCTATGTTTTTCAGCTATTTTAAATCAACAAAGTATCATCACATTCTTGAAATAAAGACCTAAGTCATTTTTTTTACTAATAAAATCACAACTTGCTTCTTTTCAATAGATGTTTTAGGCAAAAAAAAAAAAAAAAAAAAAAGGGAAAAAAAAATATTTTCTTTTTTTGGGAGGGGGAGAAAATCAAATCATCATTAAATCAAACTAGAACATTTGTTCTCTAGGTCAGTTAGGATTAGGAAAAAATTTTTTTTATTAGTTTATTTCATTCATTTACAGTTTAAAACAAACATGTCGCATGATGACATTAACAAAAATGTTGAATAGTCAATTAGGTCAATTCTCTATATCATAGGCAGATTAACATCAAACAACCATCCATATGGACGCAGCCAAAAAACTATTTTTCAAGGAGCTCCTGGAAACTCAAAACCCAGTGTTTATCGTATCGTTTATCACTTATTGTGATAAAGTTCTTATCATGATAGAATTTCTTATTGTTGCCACAACAAATTTCAATTAGCGTTTAAAATCCCCCCAAACTGTCTGTATTGTTGGGAATGAAGTTTTACTATTTTCTCCACTGTTTTTTTTTTCCATTGAGAGTATCAATAAGTATCAATAAATTTGAAAATATGATTAAACGCAGTCACTTTTCGCGGCTTAGTGATACAAATCCCACTTACTGATGTGACTGGTGTTCAAAAGAAGCGTATTATAAATATTTTCAGGAGCAGTATTTATGTTTGTGGAGCTATGATTGTTCCAAAAGTCACCTAAAATTACCCAGAAAATGAATAAGAGATAGTTTATATGTTCACTTTTATAATTATCACAATAATACTTTAAGATATGGTTAAAAAAACTTTAAATTCATATTGCCTACCCCTAGCATATTTGTCAATAATTCATCTGTGCATAAAAAAATAAGACATTTTATTTTAGATTATTGGAGTAAAAGGGGGCTGAATCCCAGAACACAACACAGATTTTTTTTTTTTTTTAAATGCATTCGCCTTTCAGGGAATATTTTTCCCGCCTCTTCATAATTACCTTATGTTGGTTTATCTGGTAAAAACTCACTGAAATGCATTGAGGTTAGTGGTGGTAATGTGACAAAGTGAGAAAAAAATAAAAAAAGATCAATGGCGGTGTGAATACTTTTTCACAGTGCTTCACTCGATCCACATCTCAGCGAGCAAACAAGTTCTCCTCACGTAGGAAAAAAAAGCTCAAAATCAATTAAAACTCAACCAGTTTCAAAGTTCATACACTGCAAAGGTGCATTAATTAAATCAGCATGAATAAAGGCAATTAAAACATTCACAGTTGAAATACACAGAATAGAAAAATTCATTAAAATCTGACTGAGATAAAGATAGACCAGTAACCAGTGTCTGTGCCTTAATGAAAAGGAATTTTGAGCACTCCAACACACACATACACACGTTAAAAAGAAAACACCTCTGGAAGTCTCTCAATTGGGAAATGATTAAACTCCTCTTCCTTGTTTATACTTCAGTCAATAATTGGCAGCTTATAATCAACAGTTGAATGATTGTTGCTTCTGCTTACAAGAGCTCTTCCAGAGGTAACAATGAAGCTTAAAAGGACATCATGCCGAGACAGCTAGCTGGGCAACACTGGGATTTTGTGTCCATCAAGTTACCATTCAAAAAAAAAAAAAAAATGAGAGAGGATTAACTAAGGACATGTTTCTACTTTTATCCTCATCAACTGCTTATGAGAGAGGTTGCTTTGGTTAGTTTCTTTTCTCATTCACAGCTTTACCAACCAGTCCAAACCAAAATGTCAGAAATTGGAGAAAATTGTCACAATTCCTTGTGGCCTTACCATGTAGCCCAAATGTCAAATCTTGTAATGATTGTTTGTTTCTGTAAGTAAATTATATTTTTATATGTTAATTTCTACAAAGACAGAACAGTCAAAATGCTAACATGCTAACAACCCTAGCTAACATGCTGAAATTAGTATTTAAGGATAACTAACAATGGCAAAAATGAGCTATCATCCTAGCATTAGCAAACATGCCAACTATAATTTTGTGGAAAGTGAAATTGAATTAAAGACGCAATATTATGTAAAATTAACTATTTTTGAGTTAAAAATGTTGCTAAAGGGTTAATGGAGGAGCCATGTTGTGATGACTTCCTGAAGACGAGTTTTAGAAAGAGCAGGAGCTTCTTAAAGAGACAGAGGCCCAATTTCAAGGTACTAAATGACAGTCAAATTTCTTTTAGGTCATTTTCTGTCTGAATACTGCAAATAAACACCACAAGTGCCAGAAAAACTTAATAAAAAAAACAAAAAAAACATTTAAACAACTGAAAATCACCCATTGTCTTGTAGACTATTTAAAATTTAAAGGAGATTTTACGCTAAAAATAAGAGGAAGTATCTTTTTAAACCTTGAAATAAGGCGTTTTAATTATTTGCAAACTTGGTTCATTATTCTTTAAGAATATTTTTTTTACTTAAAGGGTAAACAATTCATGGCATTCCCACAATAAATCCTCAAACGAGCAAAGGTTTGCTGAAACACTTAAATGTTTTTTAGTCAGTTCATAATAACAAACACAGAGGTGACATTTGTGTGGTGGGACAGCAGACAAAAGTTGCCAATTGCACCTAAAACAAAGTCAGAAAGTTGAGGATTGACCCAATAAAACACATACAATTATTTTCCCAAACAGCAAAGTTTCCAGTTAAAACCAAAAACGGCAGCGTTGACGGAAACCGTGAATTTGCGGCTCACAGCTGTACAGAACCCCTTCGGTCTCGTCTGTGTTTACGTGTGGGCTTGTGTGTAACCTGACAGCCTGCCACCCAACAGGGGTCCCAGCGAGTGTGAACTCTATTCGTTCCCACAGCTGCCATTAGCAGACGGAAGAATTGCCTCTTGCTAACAAAGTGAATAAATAAATAAAGCTTAAGAAGCCTTGTTTACCTCCTCGGTCTCTGTTGATTAGTGCTACTTAACGAAAAATAGGATTTTCTGTAAGCATGGATTAGGGTTTATATATATTTACCCTGGTAATTACAGTCATCTCTGCAATTCTGCCAAGTAAGATTTTAGTACTCTGCAAAAACACAAAATACAAGACATTTTCCCCATGTTATAAGTGAAGAAATCTGCCAGTTAAAATCAACAGCCATATTAAGAGCTGTAAGCTAATTATGAATTATGCTAATGATGGTAGGTATGTTGCATATATAGAGGAGCTTAGGAATAGTAAAGAATCTGGTGTTGGCATGCTGGTATGGTGGGCTTCAAATGAAATTATGCTCAAGGCCCCAAAAAGGTTTTGGTCGGCCCTGGCTTATGCCCACTCACATTGAATGGAGATGGGAAAAAAGCAATAGAAACTCCCTCAAAGTGCAATTCCCCAAAAGCCCATTTATTTTTTACTTTTCTTGCAACGTGGTGTCCCCTGTTCCACCCCATCCAGGCCATGCTGCCCTGGGCAGAAAGCCATATCGCCTTTAATAAAAACCACCTCTGAGAACCATAAACCAAATTTGCTGTTGGTATTTACTTCGCCTTGTGCCACAACTTTACTTTTCACATTGTGTTTTCTTAAGTTTTTATTTTCCTGCCTTAAAAAGCAGGAAAAAAATACCCCTGCTTTGTGCTTAAAACAACAAACGAGGCGCCTGATAACGTATATCTCTGTTATTGCGAGCTAAAGCCGTGAAAAGCGAGTCCTTACAGGTCACAGTGTTTAATTTAGTCCCTCCTCGGTGTGTGGCACGGAGCCCAGGGGCCATTTACTCCTGCTGAGGACAGTAAATCTCTTCGCCCAGATTACAGATATACTGTTTCGGGTTTTAGCTTTCCTCTTATTTGGGAAAAGAAGAACAAGCTGTGATTAGGAAGATCCTAGAGTGATAGATTGACTGTGCTCTGATGAC